CGCCGACATCGTCTTCGACCGAGTCGTGAGAGATCACGGCTTACCTCAGAGCATCATCTCCGACAGTGACCCGCGCTTTACCAGCACATTCTGGCGACGCCTACACGAGGTGTACGGATCCCAGCTCCGCTTCTCATCGTCTTACCACCCTCAGACGGATGGTCAGACTGAGGTCACCAACAAAACTCTCGGTAATATCCTCCGAAAGTTTGTTAGGGATGACCAGCAGTGGGACTTACACTTAGCCCACGCGGAGATTGCGTCGAACCACGTTGTTTCGCCAGCCACGGGGATGTCGCCATTCTATTGCGACCTCAGCTACCACCCTCGAGTACCCGTGGATTTCTTACGACCATCCCGGTTGCGCCCGGACACTCGTTGCCCTGCGCTTGACGACTGGATCGCCCACATGACAGCGATTATGAAGCGCGCACACGAGAGTTTAGCTGACTCCCAGACTCGCACGGCCGCATGAGCGAACCGATCACGAATGGATCAGCCATTCAAAGTCGGTGACAATATGCTCGTCGACGCACGCCACTTACAACTCGAAGCAGATACGCTTCGCAAGTTCAGGCGTCGTTTCTTCGGTCCATGCCGCATCCTTCAGGCCGTCGATTCTGATACTGCCGCTAGTCCGGTCAGATTCTGTGTGAAGCTACATGATTACCTCCGACAGGCCCACGTACACGATGTTTACCACGTCTCCTTGCTGCGTCCTTATCGCAGACCGTCCGAGCGCTTCGCCGGACGCCCTTATGAGCGCCCTCCACCTATCATGGTGGATGGTCACAAGGAGTTCGTTGTTTCCGACATCGTATCACGCCGAGTTACCGATGATACCCCTCCACGCATCGAGTACCTTGTGCGTTGGAAGGGCTACCCTGATGAGGAGGCTACTTGGGAGACCCTCGAGCACTTGCAGCACGCCAGGATGTTGGTGCGTGCATATGATCGTGCTCGGCGTGCTGAGACATCTGCTTCTACTCAGCCGACTGACCCTCTTCCTCCTCCTCCGGCTGAGGAGATTGCTGAGGATGCGCCCGCTCCCTCTGAGGCCGTTCCTCAGCCGCAGACGGTTGCCTTCGAGCGTCCACAGCGCACTCATCGTCGCCCTTCGCGTTACGATGACTGACACTCTTATCCTCTATCTTTCCCCGCTGACTCACACCATCAGGTACTCCATCATCATCTCTTCTTCAGGATGTCAGCGTTTTACGGCTCTGCTTCGACATCGACTCCACTGCTACTTCATCGACTACTTCGACGACTTCAGTTACTTTGGACGTTACTACTTCACGTCACCACCCTACCCTGTATACTCCCTTGCCCCTGTCGCATGATGGTTCCCACTTAGCTGGGTCTCTTTGAGTTTGACTCTCCCTTGGTATCGCATAGGCATTGGGACCGTAGCGTTATCTTGGCTTCCTTGCTCCCAGATCTAGCTCCCTCTCCCAGTCAGTGAGTTGTGTGCATGTTTCCCTCACCCACTGCCCTCATCACCCTAGGGACGGCTATTGCATGCCTCCAGTTCGGCATAGCTCCACCCTATTCCAGGCTCCCCTTTTCATGGTCGACCCTGCATGGTGTCACCCTTTTGTCGAGCATTACCCGCCTTGATGGTCTATCTGTTAGGGTCGTTGGTTTTGTTTCGCTACCACTCTCCCACCTTGAGCCTGATGACCTATCCCACCTTYATGTGTGACTGCCCTTAGGAGTTCCGATTCTTAGGCTGCATTCACCCCCTCTGAGACCATCCCACGTTTAGTGGTTCAGCGACATGACATTATCTTGTGACATATTGCTCTTTTCCTTTCAGCACTGAGGCCACTGCCTCCAGGATTTTAGGATTGTATCATGCTACATGTCATTTTCTGCTTTTAGTTAGGATATGTATACCAAACATTTGCTTTTCATTTGACATTATGTAGTTTAGGCTGCATCGCATGGACTCAGCATGGAGCTTGCTCTACATCCTAGATTTCTCAGCTTTTTTTATTGCAGAGTTCCGCTGCTTTTGCGGATATCGTGTTTATGGCTCTTGCGATCCATTACAGGTCTGAGGATCGTGCAGCGGGCCTTCATCTGCCCTGGCC